GAGTAATATATAGTATAGTAGTATAGTAGTATATTGAGTAATATATAGTATAGTAGTATAGTAGTATATTGAGTAATATATAGTATAGTAGTATAGTAGTATATTGAGTAATATATAGTATAGTAGTATAGTAGTATATTGAGTAATATATAGTATAGTAGTATAGTAGTATATTGAGTAATATATAGTATAGTAGTATAGTAGTATATTGAGTAATATATAGTATAGTAGTATAGTAGTATATTGAGTAATATATAGTATAGTAGTATAGTAGTATATTGAGTAATATATAGTATAGTAGTATAGTAGTATATTGAGTAATATATAGTATAGTAGTATAGTAGTATATTGAGTAATATATAGTATAGTAGTATAGTAGTATATTGAGTAATATATAGTATAGTAGTATAGTAGTATATTGAGTAATATATAGTATAGTAGTATAGTAGTATATTGAGTAATATATAGTATAGTAGTATAGTAGTATATTGAGTAATATATAGTATAGTAGTATAGTAGTATATTGAGTAATATATAGTATAGTAGTATAGTAGTATATTGAGTAATATATAGTATAGTAGTATAGTAGTATATTGAGTAATATATAGTATAGTAGTATAGTAGTATATTGAGTAATATATAGTATAGTAGTATAGTAGTATATTGAGTAATATATAGTATAGTAGTATAGTAGTATATTGAGTAATATATAGTATAGTAGTATAGTAGTATATTGAGTAATATATAGTATAGTAGTATAGTAGTATATTGAGTAATATATAGTATAGTAGTATAGTAGTATATTGAGTAATATATAGTATAGTAGTATAGTAGTATATTGAGTAATATATAGTATAGTAGTATAGTAGTATATTGAGTAATATATAGTATAGTAGTATAGTAGTATATTGAGTAATATATAGTATAGTAGTATAGTAGTATATTGAGTAATATATAGTATAGTAGTATAGTAGTATATTGAGTAATATATAGTATAGTAGTATAGTAGTATATTGAGTAATATATAGTATAGTAGTATAGTAGTATATTGAGTAATATATAGTATAGTAGTATAGTAGTATATTGAGTAATATATAGTATAGTAGTATAGTAGTATATTGAGTAATATATAGGATAGTAGTATAGTAGTATATTGAGTAATATATAGTATAGTAGTATAGTAGTATATTGAGTAATATATAGTATAGTAGTATAGTAGTATATTGAGTAATATATAGTATAGTAGTATAGTAGTATATTGAGTAATATATAGTATAGTAGTATAGTAGTATATTGAGTAATATATAGTATAGTAGTATAGTAGTATATTGAGTAATATATAGTATAGTAGTATAGTAGTATATTGAGTAATATATAGTATAGTAGTATAGTAGTATATTGAGTAATATATAGTATAGTAGTATAGTAGTATATTGAGTAATATATAGTATAGTAGTATAGTAGTATATTGAGTAATATATAGTATAGTAGTATAGTAGTATATTGAGTAATATATAGGATAGTAGTATAGTAGTATATTGAGTAATATATAGTATAGTAGTATAGTAGTATATTGAGTAATATATAGTATAGTAGTATAGTAGTATATTGAGTAATATATAGTATAGTAGTATAGTAGTATATTGAGTAATATATAGTATAGTAGTATAGTAGTATATTGAGTAATATATAGTATAGTAGTATAGTAGTATATTGAGTAATATATAGTATAGTAGTATAGTAGTATATTGAGTAATATATAGTATAGTAGTATAGTAGTATATTGAGTAATATATAGTATAGTAGTATAGTAGTATATTGAGTAATATATAGTATAGTAGTATAGTAGTATATTGAGTAATATATAGTATAGTAGTATAGTAGTATATTGAGTAATATATAGTATAGTAGTATAGTAGTATATTGAGTAATATATAGTATAGTAGTATAGTAGTATATTGAGTAATATATAGTATAGTAGTATAGTAGTATATTGAGTAATATATAGGATAGTAGTATAGTAGTATATTGAGTAATATATAGTATAGTAGTATAGTAGTATATTGAGTAATATATAGTATAGTAGTATAGTAGTATATTGAGTAATATATAGTATAGTAGTATAGTAGTATATTGAGTAATATATAGTATAGTAGTATAGTAGTATATTGAGTAATATATAGTATAGTAGTATAGTAGTATATTGAGTAATATATAGGATAGTAGTATAGTAGTATATTGAGTAATATATAGTATAGTAGTATAGTAGTATATTGAGTAATATATAGGATAGTAGTATAGTAGTATATTGAGTAATATATAGTATAGTAGTATAGTAGTATATTGAGTAATATATAGTATAGTAGTATAGTAGTATATTGAGTAATATATAGTATAGTAGTATAGTAGTATATTGAGTAATATATAGTATAGTAGTATAGTAGTATATTGAGTAATATATAGGATAGTAGTATAGTAGTATATTGAGTAATATATAGTATAGTAGTATAGTAGTATATTGAGTAATATATAGTATAGTAGTATAGTAGTATATTGAGTAATATATAGTATAGTAGTATAGTAGTATATTGAGTAATATATAGTATAGTAGTATAGTAGTATATTGAGTAATATATAGTATAGTAGTATAGTAGTATATTGAGTAATATATAGGATAGTAGTATAGTAGTATATTGAGTAATATATAGTATAGTAGTATAGTAGTATATTGAGTAATATATAGTATAGTAGTATAGTAGTATATTGAGTAATATATAGTATAGTAGTATAGTAGTATATTGAGTAATATATAGTATAGTAGTATAGTAGTATATTGAGTAATATATAGTATAGTAGTATAGTAGTATATTGAGTAATATATAGGATAGTAGTATAGTAGTATATTGAGTAATATATAGTATAGTAGTATAGTAGTATATTGAGTAATATATAGGATAGTAGTATAGTAGTATATTGAGTAATATATAGTATAGTAGTATAGTAGTATATTGAGTAATATATAGTATAGTAGTATAGTAGTATATTGAGTAATATATAGTATAGTAGTATAGTAGTATATTGAGTAATATATAGTATAGTAGTATAGTAGTATATTGAGTAATATATAGAACACTGTATTATATTGAGTAATATATAGTATAGAAGTATAGTAGTATATTGAGTAATATATAGAACACTGTATTATATTGAGTAATAAGTGATGACTTGACAGGTATCACTCCACCACATTAAACATTCAGCAGTTACAAATAATAACGAACAAACTAACAAACTAGATAGACATAACTCTGCAGTCTGCAATACGGTGGTCTATATAATGAGCGTTGTCCGGCACGTTATCCAACGTTTATGGGAAGTCTAGCTTCCCTCATTCTAATTTGTCTCACGCATTAAACTTAAAGAGTTTCAGCAGCTTGCAGCAGCGTACGTCACTTATACGTATAGGCGCAGTTTATATACCTTATCGGACCTTATTTGGACGGACATTACATGAACGGACGTAATTATGAACGGACATTAATATGAACGCTCGAAGGCATTCAAAACCATCAAAAAGCCGAATTTGTTTAAAATTTGTTGAGGTTTTTATAATTTCAGAAAATGATTTTTAAATCCATTTTATATACAATAAGTAAGAAAAGCAGTCATTAAGCAGTAAAATTTTAAAATATGTGTTCATGATCAGTATCTAATATCACATATCATCTTCATCAAATGGGCTTTCGTGTATGAAATAGTCCATGCTTAAACAAGCATCAGTGATTTCTAGCTTTATGGAAACCTTTTTTTATCAAACTGCCCCGGTCCTGCATTTCAGTGTTAACTTTTACAAGCCATTCGGCGTGAAGTGGTTTTATCTTAGACAACTTTAGGTTTTAACCTTTAACATCACGTGGAGCTTTCCTAGCACTGTTTCATTACCTCCCCTCAGTAATATGAACTATAACAACGTCGGACAATGTCCTTGGCAACATGATTTGCCGTAATATCTAGAGGCTGGAACAAGTTTGTCATGTTGGCGGGGACTAGCTCATGAACTATGTTGTTGAGTGCCATAATTTTGTTGACTTTTTCCGCCAAGTGACCCTTGAAAACATCATATACTAGTAGAGTTTTCTGTGCCTCCGGCAGACCAAGGAGAACCTTTCCGTCGTTAACTTACGTCACAATAAAGTTATCATAGTTGTCATATTCTGGACAAAAAGTTCGAAATGGAAAAAGTTTTGAAAAAATTTCAACGGACTTTAACTTGGACGGACATTAATTGAACGGACTTTATTTGAACGGACATTAAGATGAACGCTAGGGCCTCCAGCGTTCAAGTAATGTCCGTCCAAATAAGGTCCGATAAGGTAATCAAGAGGCTTGCATATTATATCTCCGCCAAAAGCACACTCCCCAAATTGCGCGCATTGCTGCAACTTCTTTCAAACTTCATGAATCGAGGAAAATTATTTTGCTATGTATTCAGAGTCAATATATGCACTTATACAAATCACTTGGAATACTTTTGAAAGAGAATAACAAGCTCAAAAACGCTACTAACGTATTTCTCCATAAAAAGCACAATAGCGTGAGAAGCTTTTGCCGAGGTGTCAGCAGCTTGCAGCAGCGTACGTCACTTATATACAACTCATTGCTCCAAATGATTTGTCAAGTTTTTGCTTTGTCACTACAAATCCTTAGATTGTCACAAAACCCCTAACTTTGTGACACAGTTTAATTGTATTATGCGATATGAGCAGCTCAGCTACACACCAACAATTACCTACAAATTACAGGGCTCAATTCCGGTCTGCTACAGGCTAATACTCATTACTCACCAGCTAGAAAGGTGTTGAGTACTCTCAGCTCCGTGTAGGTAGGTAATATAATACCGCAGTGATCTAATGAAATGTCACGTTACACATCACGTTACCTTACCTGCTGACATTAAACTCGCTATTCTGAGCTCTCGGACGGGTCACGTGAAGTGCACGTGACGCATTTAATCATGTTCCTGTACTCTGGAATGCCAGTAATCTACATCCAAATCGTTTGGTTCGTCAGCTCGTTGTGACTTATTTCTTATTCTCGATCTCGTGTCTTTGTAAGCTTACACTAAACCTGGCCAGATTTATTAGCTTGTTTAAATCGACGCATCTTTGTTGACGAGACACTTATACTTCTTGGCAGGTACGTGGAAGATTTATAGTAAAGAGACTTTCTGAAGTTATAAAACTCAGCTAAATTCAGCTACTCACTACCCCGAGTTTAGCTCAATTCAGCTATAAACTCGGGGTAGTTAGTACTGTTTCTTTTCTTTTTCGTGTAACTTACTACATAATATAAATTACCAATACAATGCAGATGTTATATTAGTCTCAGTTGGGTTATTATGGCTGATACTGGAAAGTACCGTGATTTAATATAGATTTTCACCTGGCATAGCTGGGGCCTGGAGCACTTACAATTTAGTACATCTCCAATAATAGGGACTTTACGCCCCAGTTAAGTTATGTGTTTGTGGGCAATTTGGGGGCCTGGGACACTTACACTTTACATGTACAGCCGTTATAACTTCAAACGGGATCAATACAAATTTATACAATTAGTCGCAACCAGGCGACTTATAAACAATACTCCAATCCGGATTTTACATGTTATAAGTATAACTTCTGGTACACCTTTTTCAATGGTTTTTGATTGAAAATGTTTTCAGTGACTGAGTTTCAAGAAACTTTGAAAAACAATTTTGAGAAGAAACCTGTTTCCTTATTCCTAACTAATCTATCTTGACCTTGTGAAGACTTCGTCCTACCCCAGGTTATCAAATATCAGGTTTGTGAATGTTTTACAAAACAACTTAATCTTTCTTTTATATTACTTTTTAATATGCTGATTAATTTTAGGGACATCTATTTCTAAGTAAGTGCCAATACCATTTAAGAATACGACTGCCAGCACGCTATTTTAAAGCGATAAGATACTCAGTATCTAGACAGCTCAAATCTCAATCTTTCTCCCACAATTATTGGTTCTTGATCAGCCACGTAGCCAGCAATAAGATTAAGGCAGGAACTTGGCGAAGCGCCAGATAACCCCATCCATATATTTCTGTCCCGCATCAGGGTTCGCAGTTCCTCTTTAGAGTTTGTCACAACTTCCTTCAGTAACATAGACAAGTAGCTTTGTCTTGGTCGGCCTTGCTGTGCTCTACCATGCATAGGTTCCCATAAGACTAAATCACTAGCAAGTAGCTTAGGATGTCTGATGCAGTGTCCTGCCATTTTTAATCTCCTGCTTCGTAACCCTACTCGGCGTCAGTCAATTGCATAATTGAATAACTGATGCCTTGGTAGGCTACCATACAAAGTTATATTGCTGACCTTGTTCTTCCATGAGATACCCAGCGCCATACGCAGCATCTTTGTGTATGTCCCGTCCAAACTTTTCTCTTGAGCCTTCGTCAGTTTCCAGGTTTCTGATCCGTAGAGCAGTACTGCATACTGATCACAAGCCGCTATGAACAATCTAATCTTAAGGCTCTTTCAGGGTTTGAATTTCCAAATATCCTTCAGTCTATGTAGGGCACCCCATGCTTTTCCCTTTCTAACCCTTATCTCCCTATCTGTGCTATGTAACTTACATTGTAGGGCACCTCATGCTTTAGAGGTCGCTAGATCGATCCTCCATATTCAAATTTCAATGTCATAACCTTGGTCTTGCCTTTGAGCGTGCTAAATCAGTCGATCTTCGAGATTGTTCTTAAAGGGCCCCCGACAGTTGAAAACAGCTTGAATCGATGTATTTTCGGACGTTGATTCAGAATCACACCCCATGACATAGGGTTAAAATGCTCCCCTGCCAAGATATTGGCGAAAAACTGTCTTGATCACGTGATATGACCGTGCGTATAAGGAAGTTAGTCGAATTTCTCGTTCGGTTAGGGTTTCAGCATATGCTTTTGTTAGGGATTGGGTTAGGGTTAGGGTTGGGATCAGATAAGAGGGTTAGGGTTTCGAATAGTCGTTCAGGGCCAGCTAGAGAACGGGTTGAAAAAGTCACGTGACAGTCGAGTGTAGAGTGATTAATCATCATCCTCTTGCCTTCGTTTAAGTGTAGCCATACGCTCGCTGCCGCCGCGATTCTACTCGGAGCAGGAACTGAGGAACTCGTTGGCCTTGTCCATGTCCTCAGAAATAAGTGGTATATCATCTGCAAAGTCCACATCGGTGATGATCTTGGGCCCCACTCTTCTGCTTTTTTTACGTTCGAGAGTGAGTCCAAGTCGCTCCGCATCATCACCTATGGCTTGCCTCATACAGTAGTCGATGACTATTGCAAAAAGGTAAGGTGCTAAGGTTTCACCCTGTAACACACCTGCTAGTACCTCAAACAACAGTTTCTCCGTCTGGAGTTATATTAGGACTTTGGCCGTTGTCTTCTCGTACATGAGCCGTATAAGCTGTACGATTTTGACTGGAATACCGTAAGCCTATAGAATCTTGAGCATTTTCCCACGATGTACACTGTAGAAAGCCTTCTTAAAGTCTATAAATGTCAGAACAGCTGGCAGTTTCCGACTCTTGACACCCTTTATTAGACGCCTCAGTACCAATATCTGCTGGGCTTAGATGTCCCTCACATAAATCGAGGCCTTTTTTTCAAAAAGCTAAGGCAAAATGCAGGATAACGTGGAAAATGCAGGATAACGTGGAAAATGCAGGATAACGTGGAAATATTCTCAAATTCTCTCAAAATGTTTCATTCGGCTTTACGTCCCCTAGCTGTCCGGTCGGACTCGCCTGCCATGGCAGATTATCTTGGCTACGGGGCTGTTCTTGATTAGTTAATTACCTACTTAATATCAGTTAATTAATTCCTCCATTTATGTGAGGGACATCTGAGTTAGTACCATTTTAGAATACGACTGCCCGCGTCCTATTGTAAAGCTGTAAAATAAAAAACTCACGCGGAGAATTTCAGTGAAGTACAGGATCACAACAACTTATTCGAGCAACTACTTTCTAACTGGTATCTATCTTGTGAAGACTCTCTCCTCAACCCCAAGTTATCAGGTTTGTAAACGTTTTATAGAATTTAGACGACATAGTCTTCCTTCTCATATTATTTGTTTTAGATAAGACTCATTGTTGTGCCCTATTCGTTCCTTGTGCCCCACCCTGCTTAGTGCTGTGTTCGACCTTGGCTAACTGTGAGAAATTTCCGGGCATTGACTGTTTATTGGTGTATTGGTAGGCAGTATTGCTACTGTTAGTTCAATTGCTCTGAAAGTACAGACATTTTTTCAATTCCTAGAATTGCAGGATACTTCGAGAATTGTAGCATATACATCGAGCCTTTTTCGTGTCCATATAGAGTCATTGTATTGTTCCTTAATTCCTTATTAAGGCAAAATAGGGCTTCAACAGAACAGTACAGGTAGGGATATTGAAAATGTATAGTGCACAATTGCACTCTTTATGGTAGATCGTTGTACTGGTTATTTTCAAGAGATTTCCCATTTAGGCCCATCCTGACCAATCAAAACGTTAAAATTTTAGGAACAAACAAAATTGAGATGAAGAAACAAAATTGAGATAAATCTTACATGTGGAGTTGCTATGTTGCATAATTCATCTCGCTTGCATTATGTAGATATACGTAACGAGGCATAATTCATCTCGCTTGCATTATGTAGATATACGTAACGAGGCATAATTCATCTCGCTTGCATTATGTAGATATACGTAACGAGGCATAATTCATCTCGCTTGCATTATGTAGATATACGTAACGAGGCATAATTCATCTCGCTTGCATTATGTAGATATACGTAACGAGGCATAATTCATCTCGCTTGCATTATGTAGATATACGTAACGAGGCATAATTCATCTCGCTTGCATTATGTAGATATACGTAACGAGGCATAATTCATCTCGCTTGCATTATGTAGATATACGTAACGAGGCATAATTCATCTCGCTTGCATTATGTAGATATACGTAACGAGGCATAATTCATCTCGCTTGCATTATGTAGATATACGTAACGAGGCATAATTCATCTCGCTTGCATTATGTAGATATACGTAACGAGGCATAATTCATCTCGCTTGCATTATGTAGATATACGTAACGAGGCATAATTCATCTCGCTTGCATTATGTAGATATACGTAACGAGGCATAATTCATCTCGCTTGCATTATGTAGATATACGTAACGAGGCATAATTCATCTCGCTTGCATTATGTAGATATACGTAACGAGGCATAATTCATCTCGCTTGCATTATGTAGATATACGTAACGAGGCATAATTCATCTCGCTTGCATTATGTAGATATACGTAACGAGGCATAATTCATCTCGCTTGCATTATGTAGATATACGTAACGAGGCATAATTCATCTCGCTTGCATTATGTAGATATACGTAACGAGGCATAATTCATCTCGCTTGCATTATGTAGATATACGTAACGAGGCATAATTCATCTCGCTTGCATTATGTAGATATACGTAACGAGGCATAATTCATCTCGCTTGCATTATGTAGATATACGTAACGAGGCATAATTCATCTCGCTTGCATTATGTAGATATACGTAACGAGGCATAATTCATCTCGCTTGCATTATGTAGATATACGTAACGAGGCATAATTCATCTCGCTTGCATTATGTAGATATACGTAACGAGGCATAATTCATCTCGCTTGCATTATGTAGATATACGTAACGAGGCATAATTCATCTCGCTTGCATTATGTAGATATACGTAACGAGGCATAATTCATCTCGCTTGCATTATGTAGATATACGTAACGAGGCATAATTCATCTCGCTTGCATTATGTAGATATACGTAACGAGGCATAATTCATCTCGCTTGCATTATGTAGATATACGTAACGAGGCATAATTCATCTCGCTTGCATTATGTAGATATACGTAACGAGGCATAATTCATCTCGCTTGCATTATGTAGATATACGTAACGAGGCATAATTCATCTCGCTTGCATTATGTAGATATACGTAACGAGGCATAATTCATCTCGCTTGCATTATGTAGATATACGTAACGAGGCATAATTCATCTCGCTTGCATTATGTAGATATACGTAACGAGGCATAATTCATCTCGCTTGCATTATGTAGATATACGTAACGAGGCATAATTCATCTCGCTTGCATTATGTAGATATACGTAACCAGGCATAATTCATCTCGCTTGCATTATGTAGATATACGTAACGAGGCATAATTCATCTCGCTTGCATTATGTAGATATACGTAACCAGGCATAATTCATCTCGCTTGCATTATGTAGATATACGTAACGAGGCATAATTCATCTCGCTTGCATTATGTAGATATACGTAACGAGGCATAATTCATCTCGCTTGCATTATGTAGATATACGTAACGAGGCATAATTCATCTCGCTTGCATTATGTAGATATACGTAACGAGGCATAATTCATCTCGCTTGCATTATGTAGATATACGTAACGAGGCATAATTCATCTTCCTTGCATTATGTAGATATACGTAACGAGGCATAATTCATCTCGCTTGCATTATGTAGATATACGTAACGAGGCATAATTCATCTCGCTTGCATTATGTAGATATACGTAACGAGGCATAATTCATCTCGCTTGCATTATGTAGATATACGTAACGAGGCATAATTCATCTCGCTTGCATTATGTAGATATACGTAACGAGGCATAATTCATCTTCCTTGCATTATGTAGATATACGTAACGAGGCATAATTCATCTCGCTTGCATTATGTAGATATACGTAACGAGGCATAATTCATCTCGCTTGCATTATGTAGATATACGTAACGAGGCATAATTCATCTCGCTTGCATTATGTAGATATACGTAACGAGGCATAATTCATCTCCCTTGCATTATGTAGATATACGTAACGAGGCATAATTCATCTCGCTTGCGTTATGTAGATAAACGTAACGAGGCATAATTCATCTCGCTTGCATTATGTAGATATACGTTGAAATGACTTGCTCTTACCTTTGTAATAAGAGTGAGCTAAAGCTCCATGCTAAGATAAGTAACATCGTTAGTAACAATCATAACACTCCTCATATCTCAGATTCCACGTTAACTTCCAATGTATGTTACTAGACGTATTTCCAAATGATATTTATTTGAATCGTTATCTATCTGCGTATCCTTTACATCCTTCCCAATCAATAAGCTGGATATTGACATTGGGGTAAAAGTCCAACGTGATAAAATATTATTATTCATGTAAATAATGTCCCTCATGATAATAATAGTGTCCGTTCATCACGTTATAACAAGATTCTTATCGTCAATAAAATATTATCAATCATGTAAATAACGTCCCTCATGATAATAATAATGTCTGTTCATCACGTTATAACAAGATTCTCATTGTCAATAATATATTATTAATCATGTAAATAATGTCCCTCATGATAATAATAATGTCCGTTATGATGATCCAATAGTCATGATAAATAGTATAACATATTTGTATCATTTCTATCATGTCCCAAATGTCCTATTACCCTCTGAAATACCCCAAATTCCATCAATCCTCATCTGCGTCTGGTTGTCCGCTGGCCTCTGCATCTTCGTACCGCTTCTTCTTCCCGTCCGCCTGCAGTAACCTCACTGGATTCCTAGTCCTCCCGGATCTCCGAACGGTTAGCGCTGCATCAGGTGGAGCTACCGGGGACTGTTCCATGACCTCTGGAACACCGTCGTTCACTTGAGGGTGTAGTTCATCTCGCTGGGGATGTGTCACCGTAGGGCTGTCCGGCTCCGGAGCCACCTCACTGCTCACTACTCTCTTGTGCGTTTTCAAGTAGTTGAACCGTCTATCTTTACGCGTGCCTCTACTGTCCTTATCCACTGGCTCCATCGTGTAAGTATATCCGTCACCCTTGATCACTGTTATCCTGTACGGCTCCGAGTAGCGGGGGGATGTCTTCCCGCCTTTATTGCTCCTTGCTTCGTCCGTGAGCCTATAACGCACCAAGTCGCCTACTTCGTACGGGGTTTTGCAGGGTCCTTCTTTCTCTGCTGATTCCACTCTCTCCTCTTGATATTCGACCAGGTTTGTTCGTGCTTGCTCAGTCAACAGTCTGCATTCTTCGTCCCTCTCCTCCAATACAGTTGTTCCAGGCGTCTTCACCTTATCCCTCTCCTGAGCAATCATGTCGTCTGGTCGGTTAAAATCCCTGCCAAACAAAAGCCTAGCTGGAGTAAAACCTGTTGTAGCGTTGATCGAGTTGTTGTGGCTCCCTTGTACCAGGTATAAGGCCTCCGGCCACTTCTCCCCATCGTTCTCGCAAAGGCATCTGATCTGGTTCATTAACTGGTTCTGCCTCTCTACTTGCCCCTGGCTCTGGGGGTGTCCCGCCTGCAGTAACCTCACTGGATTCCTAGTCCTCCCGGATCTCCGAACGGTTAGCGCTGCATCAGGTGGAGCTACCGGGGACTGTTCCATGACCTCTGGAACACCGTCGTTCACTTGAGGGTGTAGTTCATCTCGCTGGGGTTGTGTCACCGTAGGGCTGTCCGGCTCCGGAGCCACCTCACTGCTCACTACTCTCTTGTGCGTTTTCAAGTAGTTGAACCGTCTATCTTTACGCGTGCCTCTACTGTCCTTATCCACTGGCTCCATCGTGTAAGTATATCCGTCACCCTTGATCACTGTTATCCTGTACGGCTCCGAGTAGCGGGGGGATGTCTTCCCGCCTTTATTGCTCCTTGCTTCGTCCGTGAGCCTATAACGCACCAAGTCGCCTACTTCGTACGGGGTTTTGCAGGGTCCTTCTTTCTCTGCTGATTCCACTCTCTCCTCTTGATATTCGACCAGGTTTGTTCGTGCTTGCTCAGTCAACAGTCTGCATTCTTCGTCCCTCTCCTCCAATACAGTTGTTCCAGGCGTCTTCACCTTATCCCTCTCCTGAGCAATCATGTCGTCTGGTCGGTTAAAATCCCTGCCAAACAAAAGCCTAGCTGGAGTAAAACCTGTTGTAGCGTTGATCGAGTTGTTGTGGCTCC